ATATATATATATATATATATATTTATATATATACACCCATTTGCAAAAACGTTGGCCGCAGATAGATAGATAGATAGATACTCGAAATCTAATTAGAATTGCATATGTTGTGTAATATTATAGAAATCCCATGCAAATGTAATCATATGCAATTCTAATTAGACTTCGAGTATCTATCTATCTATCTATCTGCGGCCAACGTTTTTGCAAATGGGTGTATATATATATATATATATATATATATATATATATATATATATATATATATATATATATATATATATATATATATATATATATATACGCTTGATTGATTACCGTAATAGCGGAACTAGTATCAATAAGTATATTAGTATCGATGCCTTCGATTTTCCCAGTTACAGTTTGGTAGTATGGTGTCTAACCATACATAGCATATGTCTAACCATGTATAGCGCGTCTAACCATACACCATCCATAATCAGACAACTTCCCAAATCGATCAACAAACGTATATCCTCACTTTCGTCCAACAAAACCAGTTTTGATTTAGCTGCCTTCTTTACGAAGATGCTCTAAAACAAAGTAATTTCAACACCACCCTAAGTTACCAACGAGATGAAAACAACTACAACCCCAAGCGAAGAAGGCAATCAAGAAACATAATCTGGTATAATCCACCTTATAATATAAATGTGAAAACGAATGTAGCACAAAGGTTCCTTCGCTTAATTGATAAGCATTTCCCAAAGTCATCGCCTCTCCATAAAATTTTCAACCGGTCAAAGTGAATTACTCTTGTATGAACAATGTTAAAATCTCAATCTCCAACCACAATCATAGAATCCCTAAACATCAAAACACCTCCCAATGTTCTTTGAAATCATGCAACTGCTGAGTTAAGGAGGAATGCTCAATGAACGGTAATTGTATCGTGAAAAGCATTGTGTACAAAGCGTAAGTTAGCTCGGATAATGGAGAAGTTGTCAAGCATTATATTGGCATAATATCAGGTAGCTTTAAACTCAGATACAGCAACCACTTAAAGTCTTTTAACCACGAACAATACTCTGGAGAAACGGAAATTTCGAAGTATATTTGGATGCAGATAAAATGGTCAGTGATGGGGCAAGTTCCCGCCGCATGCCCAGAAATGAAAGTTTGTAATTTATGCACCGAGGAAAAAAGATTAATCATGCTATCAGACAAAAACAAAGCGTTGAACAAAAAGACAGAACTGTTTAGTAAATGCCGGCATAGATATGGTTTTAAGGTTTGTAATGTTAAGCGCACGCAAACATGCACGTTGAAACGCTCGCGTGATCAATCAAAAACGAGTGCGCGTAAACCGTTGTAAATAGTTATCGCCTGAGGATCGTACTAAAAATAGTACGTGAAGCACAGTGTAGCGATGAAATACAGTTTTATGATTATATTTTGTTGATATATACACTGGCGGTCAAAAAGAACTGCTCAAATGATGCTATTATCGTATGTAACAGGAATCGTGACAATCTATCTTTTATTGTAAACTAGCAGTCAAAAAGAACTGTTTAGATACAAATTCATAAAGAAGAAGCGAATATGGGAGAGAGCTTCATAGGCATTTTGTATAACTCTCTATATTCCAAACAATATTGCAATAATGTAATGCAACCTGCCACACTTCCAAGATATATATATGCAAGTCAATATTTACTGAAACTACTGAGTCAAAAAGTGAGCACTAAAAGAGGTAGTATATTAAAGTGTCTAAAGCTAATTAAGCTTTTATTAAATGCAAAGTCAGATAATTTCTTCAACTCAACAAAAATTTGTTTTTAAAAAACACTGGACAGAAATTCCATCTTTGATGTATATTTCTTTGATGCCGTAAATTTCAAAGAGTTAAAATTACTCTATAAAAGAGTCAATATTACTCCGACTATAGGAGTTAAATTCTTAAGAGTAGTTGTAACTCCAAAAATGGAGTAGATTTTACCACTCATGGAATTAAACTACTCCCGAAGATGGAGTTGAAATGAATAGATTATATTGTACTCTTGCAGAGGAGTAGTTTTAACTACATGGAGTTATAACAACGCCTTTAATGGGGGTAAAAACAACTCGCATGGCCGAGTTGAAAACACTCCTTCCTTAATAATGAAGGTAACTCGTTCAACGTAGTAAAAACAACTCCCACATTAATGTAAACAGTTACTGTGACTCGTGAATAACACACTGTTATTTTCAGGGAGTAATTTGAACACCCCCAAATTTCATTTTCAGGGGTGTTAAGTTTTGGTGCTATTTTGACACCACTTTTAGAGTTATATTAACTCCTCGGTGGAGTAACGAACTAGGTCTTCAAACGTTGATTAGTATGCAAAAATAACCCCATCTAGAGGGGTTAGAGGATTTAACTCCATTTTAGGAGTTAAATTCCTCTCATTATATATTCATAATGGAGATTTGAAAACAAGGAGTGAAGATTGGTGATGCGCATCGCGTTAATGATAATTTATATTGAAATTGAACAAAATCTTGTATTGAAATCATTTACTACATCAGAATACGTGATGAAAAGATTGCCTCGGATAGTTCTGGTAAGTTTACATCCTTGTCCCCAGGGCCTAGCTCCGTTGCTCTCCACATAGGCCCTGGGATACGCTGTTGAATTTTGTTGGAATTCCGACAAAAAGGCTTGGTCGCATAGAATAGAGTCAGGCTAAAATATAAGAAAACATGGCGAGCGCAAAGAATGCAAATGCATGTGTTAACGAAACCTTGCTTCAAGAAGCTTCACAATCCAAGACTAATAATTCTAACATGATATCAAAAAAGGAACAGAAAGACGCTATTCGTCATATTATTAATTGAAGAGATGTAATCGCCGTCCTGCCGACAGGGTTTGGAGAATCTCTGATATACAAACTTTTGCCCCTGTATTGGACTTTTGTTAAAGCGAAGAGAAGCAATGTTTCTGCCGTATGGCCAGAAACAATCGTTATCGTAATTTTCCCATTAAACGCTGTTATAGGTGTAAAGGCAGGTGCAAATTCAGTTAGGAATTACTGAGTGGGTAATGGTCTTATAATAGGACCTGAGCTAGCAATGGCAAGATAAGTCATCACTGATGATCCTCAGTAAGGATTGTTGTCATGCTTTGAAAAACATTATTTCAATTATTCAGGCAAAAAGAGACAGCTCCCAACAGTTCAATATTATTTTAGTTTTATAAATGCTCTGCAAAATCTAAAATTCATATATAATATAAAAATATGGCAATCCTTCATGTATCCTGATTCCCTTCGATGTGATTATAGCTAACAATATACTATACTTGGCATGCATACTGCTATATCCCCAATCAAATCCATTTATGTACATGCATTTTTTTCATTAATGGCATAATTAAAACAGAGTTTGTGTAAGAGAACCTGTCTAACAAAAAAAACTGTGTTGGTAGTAAGTTTCAATATAGTTTCAAAAAACGTCGTTTCATATAGATATGAACAAAAATATTTTCTGTAATGGACCATGAGCGTCGTAAATGGTAATAAAAATTGTCAATGACAATAAATGTGTTGTATTTAGCAGTTGTTGAGACGATCAGCTTGATGGACTAGCATAAAATTCATCGTTGATTGGCGATTTCACTGAAATCGATCAAATCAATGAAATCATTTGGCGTTGACTTCGATAGATGGATGACGATTTGGCGATGGTTTCTTTCTTTTAGATTCAAAATGAATAACATACGAATTTTTCCAGTTCCTATGAATGTCTTTTAAATAAATGTAATTCGTCTTGCGCTTTTATACCCCTGTTCGCTGTTGGCATGGTGGAAAACACGGATACCGGATAGCGGATACCGGATACTTAAATAAATAAAGAATAGTATATATATACCTTTTGGCGGCCATCTGGATTTACGATCGTCTTAATTTTCAATTATTCGTCGATGTTTTGCAATAGATGTGCACCGATTTAGTTTACAAAGAAGTTCTATTCCCCTTCATTGTTTCCGAAAAAAAAACAGTCTTATACGTTTGCCATTCACGGAAAAATATCTTTATATATAATTATAATCACAATGCAATTGTTAGAGTTTGAATGCCTAAGCACTCTGTTGGGACCCACAGGTGTATAAATGTTTACCATACTCATTTTTATATGCATGCATATGATACTTATTAACAATATTTACAGTTTACAAATATGGATAACAATATTTAAATGTGCATCTCAAGAACCATGACCTTCGACATGTCCCCTTTCTCTAGCAACACAAAGCATTTAGCATTTTATAAGTTGCATTAAATCCCCACCAGCTGAAATTCGTGAACACGGCATTCAAATTTTAACAATGAGTGATTTCAATAGTTTTCATTTTTTTGGGGACACCCTGTATAAAAGTTTTGTTTTCGTTGCGTTTCTTTGGTCGAGAGAGAATCACGCGAGAGAGACGAAACTTTGATGTCCCCAGCGGGACCCCCTGAAAAGTGAGATAACGTGTTATCTCATGGGAAATAACAACTTTTATGAGTTTTATACATTTGAATTTATGTCTTTTATGAATAGATATTTCGTTGTTTGGTTGTTCTTAGACAAGTGGTATATAATAAAAAACTTATTTACCGAAAACTCAGAAAACATTATGCTTTGTGGACCCGAGGCCTGTCTATTTTCCTCGTAGTATTTCTTCGTTCGCAGTAAATAAGTGTTAATTGTTCATCTCTGTATCAACATTGGACAATGTCGATGGAAAAATATTGAACAATGATATTGTCAATTCAACAACATTGCTCAACCTTGATAACAGCATTGTTCAGCTGTTGTTCATGCATCGAACAATCATGATCAACCTGATCAATTTTCACACGTGAACGGTATAGTTAAACACGCGTACATCAGCATATTTTTCAGTCGGACCTACGAACTAATATCCATATCGTGATAGACATAGCGAAAATTGTTTCAATTATTTCCCTTCCATGTTAAATAAATATAATATATCATTAACTTTCATTGTTTCAAAGAAAACGCGTCCAAATCTGAGTTATCAAATCTATTGGCTGAGATGGAGGTCTTGAAAGAAGCCAACAAAGAACAACACCCAAATATCGTAAGATTTATTGGAAGTTGTTTTTTGAAAGGTGAGACTTTACGAATGCATACGGGTGATTACATCCTGACCAAAATACTGGGACAGCTTTATGTAAATAATTGGGAAATCCCTAGCGCTCTATATATCAATCAGATGAATTGTCCTTTAGTTATATTGTTTGTATTTTCATTTTTTTAACGGGGGCATAACAAATAGTATTATTTTTTTAAGAGAGACTCCTTATGGTAACTGAGTTTTGTCCTGGAGGAAATCTACGAAAATTCCTAATCAAAAGTAGAATCAGTGATAACTCAACAGACTCTCACAATATTTATACCAATATGCCTTCAATGTTAAGCGATCATCAGTTGTTAAAAATAGCTGTGGATGTGGCTTGTGGGATGGTTCACCTTTCTTCTCAGCAAGTAAGTACGTGTAATATACGAAAATATCTTGTTAAATTAGATCTTTCGTACACCTGATACAAATTTTGGTACGGTCCGATAGTACGATTGAGCTATAGTGGATTTGGAACTGCGTAACCGAATTCCGAACTCGTGCAAATTGTTAAACGCCTAAGAGCTTAAAGATTATATGACTTGATAAATAAGAAATTAGTGGTCCACATTCTTCCGAAGCTTTACGTTAATTGTGATTGTATTTACAACAGTACAGGGTCTCTCTAAAAAACCCAGAACTATCGCAATCTCCTATTTTTAAAATTTGAATGAATTTTTGTTAGTGGGGATTAACGCAACTTATGAAATGGTAAATATGCCTACAAAAATTAGAAATTTTCTAGAGAAGAAGGACATGTCGAAGGTCATGGTGCATAAGTTGTAGCTAGGCATTAAAACCACGTGACGTTTGGCGGTAGCCTGCCATGCCGTCACTAAACTCGGATGTGGTGGCATTTTGATCTCTGTGCATGTAACTTCACGAATCAGGAATCAGGATATCTTCCCTCGTGCAAATGCAAAATAGCGATTCGTTTGTCAGATGTGCGCTTCAACTTTCCTTTGGGGGGGCAACTCGCAGGCTAGAAAGCCCGCAATGCATTTAGGCTCAACAAGAAAGAAAAATAATTATATCCACGGAAAACTTTTTGGTGAGATGATTCTAACGCAGCTAATAAGAATCATTTGTCGAAACAAACAAGTTTTACTTTCATTGTGTATAAAAACGCTTATGCACTTAATCATGGGTCTTAACATGGTGCCCAGACATTCAAACTCTAGCTATCACATTGTTATGGTCATTTCAACGGTTTTGTTTTTTTAAAACAATAGAGAAGACAATTTCTTTCTAATCGTTTTCGCCCTCTGCTATATTTTCTAAATATTATTGATATGTGTATATTACTTGCTCCAAGAAATGTCTGTAACCTGCTTCCAAAGTCTAAAGTACTTAATTGAAGACCGTCATTCGATGCGGGTATTGCTTGGAAATATTAAAATTATTACAAGTCCCATCAGGCAGTTCAAACATACAAAACCTATATATACATTTGAACACAATCAGTAGCCGAACGTATAAACACCCAAGGTAGCTATATGTAATTCGACCATAAAAACGTTGCGAAACGGCTGTTCTATTAATCCAGAGGTTGGCAAACGGCAGGTAAGGTCCAGAGCAATGGCAATTTTACCTTTTGCGCTTTTACTATATGTATTTTATAGTGAAATTTGAAGGGCTTATTAGAAGTTAAATGCAGATTTGTATACATGCAAATCACCATAATTATATCAAATTTCTGGTAATGGCGAAATCTTAGAGAACAGACTGGACTAATAGATGTTAAATAAGACGAGATAAATAAATGTTAATTTTTTTATCACTTCCTCAGATTCTTCATCGGGATTTAGCCGCAAGAAATATACTCATTGGTGAACATAATGTGGCAAAAATTTGTGACTTTGGTTTGGCCAGGAACGTCGGAAGTGCCGCAGAATATATGAGAAATACGCAGGTAATCCCGCATTATGGATATTAATCCAATGAACTATGGGTAGGAAAAACTAGAGCCAAAAATTAATGCTGTTGCAATATTTGTGATCTTGATTATATTAAATCTCAGAAGTTTTTTCACAGCTTGTAGAAAGAATTCAAATTATACTCAAAATATCATTATATATGAACAGTGCATGTGGTTTGTAAAAAGTTATTTCGTGACTCATTTTTGCAGAATCTCTTGCCAGTAAAATGGATGTCCGTGGAAAGCTTATTTTATGGTATCTTTACAACTGCTAGCGATGTGTAAGTTTGTATTTAAAACGTTCAAGTGTTGATATTTTCTTTAAAGGAGTTATTTGCCGTAGCGAATAATAAGTTTATTGCTTGCGTGCTTTATTATTAGTTTATTTTGTAGATAACGTTATAGCTATATAGGGTAGCGCACGCGTACAGCAATGGAGGGAAACTCGTTTGTAAGCTGGCCTATTTAGATTTGAGTACAGGGGAACTTTGTTACGTATTGGAGAAACGTTTATGTTTCATGTGCACAGTCAGCAACCTATATAAAGCAATCCGAAAAGTTCAAGGTCATTTTTTTACCCGGTTTCGTCACAGCAATTTCGGAAGTTTTCACTGCGATTTTGTTCATTTTTTCAAGGTATTTTACTATTTAATTTGTATTTTTATTCTATTCCAACTAACATGAGTAGTACTGTTCCACATATACTGATTTTCAGCCATTCGTTTGTTCGCCGTTTACGGGACGACTTGGATAGCAAATTTTGATCCACGCGCTATAAACAAAATATTTAATTTGGTATCGTCAGGTCATGTTCTTTTGCACGAAATTGGCGGTCTATCAAAAATTACGAAGAAGTAAAACATTAGCTCAAACTCGATACCTATTTAGTATGGATATTACTTTGTTTCTAACCCAAAATTTGTTTAAAATAAATTAGTCTACTTACTTCCACAGCAGTATTTATTTTGGCCTATATGTAATGTAGTAATAGCTATACTTTTCCATACAATATAGCGCAAAACCATGCATGCCAAATTCTTGTTGATTTGTCCAGAAACCATTGATGGAGAGGGCTAGCTCTAATTCGTTTCGAAAACTCACGACAGTATACAGTTAAAGTACTTCCAAAACGTCGTAAATTATGGACAATTTCTAGTGAGGATTCAATAACCTGACAATAACCTGTATAGCTTACCTCAGGGAACCTACGGCAGGTTACCAATCGTTTAGCTTCAAAAATGCCAAGGGTTTTTGAAGAATACTTTCTTTTCGGCTTTCTTTCATAAAATTCGAGTTCCAATGTGCTTATATTAGCTAAAACTTTATATGGAACTCTCTTTTTATTATTTCGAGCAGCCATTTTACATGCGTTTGAATAATTTCAGTGGATACCCGCTGACCGTATTACGCGGGAGCAAAATGTCCACGATTTCTGGCAATGGGTAATTGACAGGTATATCCGCGTCATTCGAAAATCTCTTTACGCTGTACACACAATTAAAGCAATAGCAGCCCCTGTTGTGAATACAGCAATTGTTAATTGCCGCAAAGTAACCTGAAGCAGAAAATCTGACCGTGTCATATAGGACTAAAAATTTACCGGTGGGTGGGAGAGGGTGGCGAAGGGGCTATGGACCCTGGAAAATTTCCAAATTTTAAACTCCGAAACAAACATTTTCTGAGCTTTGGCTCTACAATATTCTTCAGCGAACGTTTAAAAGCGAATATTGTAAATCCTTGTACTTTCATAAAACCACAAAAATATTTTCAAAATTTTTGTAAGGTATTTACCGATACCGGTATTTCATTCACACACAACGTAACGTGAAATTAGCATACAAGCACAAATTATTCACAGACTACAGCGTAATTGCAAATTTGTATCATAGTTCGATTTAGAACTTAAAAGTCTTACTTTACAAGGGCATTAAGTAAAGATTTTCAGTATTTGTCTCTTGGGAAATAGCAGTTTAAAAATTGTCGTTGCGATTCTATATTAAACGCGAACCTTTCTTTAGTAATAATTCGACGGATTCATGTATTAATTAATGCATTCGATCCAGGATGCAGCAAACAGACAAATTTAACGTGTTATGTATGTATGAACTATATCCGAGTTCCAAGTATCGCACTTTCAAATACCGCGCCAAAGTCTATTTCTGTGAACCACACAAGGTTTCTCACGAACCGACTTTTGCACTCTATACAGGAGTTCATTTATTCTCTTTACAACTGAATAAGGTCCTTCCCAATCGATCACACATTAATTTTGGCGATATCTCCTTTCTGCGTTTAGGATTGAGTAACCAAACAGAATTTTCAGCTTCGAAAAATTCATGTGATTCATCAACGACATACCTCTTTTACATTCGATTACTATATAGCGACTCGCATTCTTATTCGGGTAAATTCGTGGGCATGCATTTTCCATCCTTCTTTGTCTGTGGGAGCTCCGATGGAGAGGGTGGCTATGACGGGCTTGGACCTCTACCAACTTCGACAAAAGGGAACAAATATCTTCCCATTGTAGGTGATTTCTTCACACAAAGTGGGTAGAAGAGTACCATTAGTAAACCAGCAAGCAGTCCTGGTGGCGGAAGTTCTCGTGAACGAATTTACTTAAAGGTTTGGCGTTCCCCTTCAATTTCATTCGGACCAAGGTCGGAATTTTGAACCCGCCGTATTCTCTGAAGTATGCAAATTGTTGGGCATTTAAAGTGTCTAATATAGTGTCAATCCGAGGGAAGGGGAATGAATCTTTGCGTGTGACGTCATTGAATCGTCATTTGGATCTATGTCCGGTTCAAGGATTACTTGATTATTTAGCTGTCCGTGGTTTTTCTAACGGGCCTTTGTTCGGGTTCCGCCGTTTCACGCTCTTTATTTACCATTGTCTTATCATTAGTTTTTCGAATTTGTGGCCTAGATCTCTCCAGGTACAAAGGATACAGTTTTCGTACCGGGGCGGCCACTTTCGTGATGGAGCGGCTTTTTTTTATACACAGATACATGCTATGAGGCGGTGGCGATCGGATGCATTTCGCAAATATATTACAGCTCCTAGTTTGAATTTTTCGTCTTCGTACTTATGTGAACTGGGAAACGGCTATGTGCTATATTATCGTTGTTGAAATGCTTAATTGTGTCTGTCGTATAGCTGGTGCAGGGGCTAGGCTAGCAACTGCAAATAGTGGATAATAAATGTAGCAATTGTCTAGAAGATGTCGCTCCGTATTCCAATGCAGAGGTTATAAGTTAATGGTCGGTTTCAGCGCAATCGCGTCTTCCGCGGTATCATTAGATGATGATGCAAACAAAGTGCAGGGTAGTTATTCTACTATAGATTTGCGATTAAATATTGCGTAACCTTTCCCGTTTGTCTTGCTTTTCTTTTTTTCTTCTTTTATTCTAGCTTTGCAAGTGTTTCCCGAGCCTGATAGTGTGGGGTGGCCTCCTTTGCTCAGTAGGCTTATGGCTTATCACCCCACCTTATCTGTGCTGTGCTAAAATACGAACGTTGTAACAATTAGCTATAATTTGTTACATTTGGTTTAATTAAATCGGCATGTGCTCTGGCATATTGCCATTATTTTATTCCAAAAGTGTCAATGCTCATTTCAGTTCCATGCCTTTAATTTGCCCAGGAAAAAGAGCTCACCAGTCTCAGAAACCGCCGGCACCTCATAAAGGTTTTGTAGTTGAAACGGAAGCGATAAAGGGGGCTACAGTCGCTTCCTCGCATCAGTTTTGCTCAAAACAATGGTAGTCTACTTGTTTTAAACTTACTCAACTTTCGCATGTTCCCTATATTTCTGAACACAAACCATCGCCATAAATCGCGGTCGTTGTGCGGGAAAAATCGGGTCTCGGGTTCACAAAACATAATGTTTCCTCCGTTCGCAGTAAATAAGTGTTAATTGCTATAAAGGTGCTGTGTATTTTAAATGTAATTGGTTCATTCGTAGTCATATGACTTTAAATAAATGCATATTTTTCCCGCCTCTCGTCATAACATGAGTAAAGTGTGTTTTTTTTTAAATGAAATTGTTGTGTATCATGTATCGTATATAACAAAACACTTAATCTACACTACCTCGGAAAATAGTGAGTTTTCTTTTCCCTCGAGTCGAGACTCTTGGGACAGCAAAACTAAATATTTTAAATGTGATTGGTTCATTCGTAGTCACATGACTCTAAATGAATGCAATGTTTGTTTGCCAGGGAAACAAGTGAGAAATTGTTGACCACATATTGTCATAACAAAGTGTTTTTTGAAACGAATTTTATTTCAACATATCTGACATAAATTTATTATACAAAAAAAAGCAAATATTTCCCTTGGAATTAGTGAAACGGCTAACTGCCTGGAGCGAGATTAAAATGTCGATGGCAATGTCTTTATCATATTCATTTAACATTTTAGCGAACTAAAAGGGTGTCAAATATTCCTGACAGTTCTTGATATTTTGTATAAAATGTAAACAAAATTTACATTACGGACTGTACACCACTTTTAAGCAAATTATCTTTACAGTAGCTAGGCAAAAAACGGGGATACGCAAAAAAAAACAAATTAGAGATTTAAGAGATATAATACTTATTGCTATTTTTATACCAACTATTTTAATGCAGATGGAGCTTTGGTGTTCTTCTCTATGAAATTACAACTCTCGGTAGGTATAACAATCAAACGTCATAATTGTGATCGAATAACTATCCTGGGCTGACGCGTGATTTGTCCAAGTATCACGCTAGGCCCAGTGCTAAATAAAAAATACCACAAATGCAGAAAGAGCAATCTTTAGGAAATGATTTCGGCGCAACTAATGATGCCTTTACAATTATTTTAATATATATTCAGTATACTTCCTTTACTTTGAGTGTCACAGTGTCGTTAGTCTAGCCTCTTTCATAGGTATCTCTAATGTTTTAAATTTTATTGGCGATTAGAGATGCCTGCGCAAGTGGTTATCCTTGGCCTATTTGACTGGAAAATAGTACCTTGATTATCTTAAATCTATCGCACGCTGTTATGTGTTTTTAGGTGAAGAACCATACAAGAACATATTACCACGTGCTGTTATTACTCACGTGGAATCAGGAGGTCGAATGGCAAAACCTCCACATTGCTCGGAGGAGATGTAAGTATATCTGAATTAATATACATCGAATCAACTAATTTTATAAAAAACAAATTAACCGTTATTATAGAGTATATTTATTGACACAATTATTTTCTCCTATGAACGTGAGAATTTTTATTAACTCATCGAAATTCATGCTGTTCTCTTTTAGATATGAAATAATGTCAAAATGTTGGAAAGCCGATCCAAGAGAGCGACCTACTTTCCCAGAAATGTTGCAGGCGTTACGTAGTATGCTGAATGATAATAAGGTACAGCTTTCTTTTATAGTGAGCTGGTGTGGATTTATATTTCACAAAATTATACAATAAACGTATGGCAATAGTAACGATGGTTGTGCCGTTATTGTGGGATAAATATGTCCATGCATGGTAATGGTTAGTACAATATATGATAATGCACAGAAAAATGTCGCAAAGGTTGTGGGAAAAAGGAGATAAATGCATGGTAAAGATAGGACATTGGAGCTCATCCTTGTTTTGTGTGATACGATTACGAAATCACACCTTAGTTTATTTGTTATGCAACAATTTGCGCTTTTCGCGAATACAAACCCGGGCTTAATTGCATGCCTGGGTTGAACTTGCAAGTTTGAAGGCGAGAAATCGTGACATGGGGCTTTGTCTTCTTCAGCATACGTACATTAATGTTACTCAAGTAGAAGATGGACTGCAGACAGGAGCTCAGCCTGCTGTGATAGGATGACTACGATGCAATGAAACGGGCGTATAAAGTTTCAAGAAGTCTTTTGTTGTCTACTACAATTATATTTTACTTCTACTTATTTATGATATTCCGATAATTTCTTACAGAAAATCAACAATGCAAGCATAATTGAACGCGCCTACTATAATTTTAACTAAAGTGGGGATTTCAATATGTAAACAAATTGTAATACTTTAATCATTTTCTTGATTGTAGATTATATTTAATGGATAATGAGAGTCAATAAGAGTTAGTGCATGTGTTTTTGGGTGAGAAGGGAACTTTAAATGTCATGAACAGTGTGACATGAACAGTGCAAACTTTGGAAGAAAGTTGCTAACCAGTAAATTTTAATAGGACTAATTTTTAAAGTTAGGATTCGGGAACAGAAGTAAGCTAAATCTAACTTTATAATTGTAGTCTTGTATTGTATCCATGTAATTTGTAATGTCTTGATATTTATAGCTCGAATAAAAGCATTTATACGATACCTAATTACCAACTTCCAGTTCGGTCTAAACCATTTTTTCTTCTATTTTGCTTTCTAAATGACTAACACTGAATCTAAAAAAGATATCAATATAAAAAGGCTACACTAACTATATTATTACATTTTTGAAGATCATTTTACGAAAATTTAGTCCCTGTGAAAAACTGGAAAAGATTTATTGAACTGTCTTAAAACCATATTGCCACAAAGATAAAGGATAAAACAAGTCTAAAGCTGGCTTGAGAGGTACGCTTTTTTGGGAAATTCGTAATACAATTTTTTTTACAAGATACAAAACTGGAAGTTGAAACACAAAATTTTGCGCATATATATTAGATGAACCGCACGCTATTGAAAATAGCAATGAAACTATGACTGTTGACATTACATTGTCTATGCAATAGTTAAAGACAACTGACAAACCTATGATTAAATGATTATGCCTTGACAATTCTTCATAAAATATATCCAAGAACTGCCCATCTAGCTAGATCACTATTTTCTTAAGACTACATGCATGTCGACCTTTAGTCCTCTACCAGGTGCAGTTTGCCCTACCACATACCAGGTAGACATAAACATAAATGAAGACACCCAATCTGAGTCTGGCAATACCAAAAATGGAAAGACGGATTCAAAGACAAGTAAAAAGAGCAAGAACAAAACTAGAAAAAAGGAGGCTGCAAAAAAGTTGTAATAACATCTATCACTTTTGGCCACACACTAGCTAATAGGCTAAAAACATCTATTGACCAGGAAGAACTATCACTAATCAATATTAGTATACACCCGACTATTGTCTATTACAAATCCTGCATTCTGATTGGCTACTCCAGCATTGTCTATTCGTGATGGTGAACGTTTGGGAAAAATTCGCTCGCGCGACCGTATAAAATTGAATTAATTAAATTTTTTTTCGGTGTAATTGCGGTGTATCGATTATTTTCTCGAAATTAATATATCTAAGTACAGGGTGTATACTAAAACAATTAGACAAATCGCCTTCGCTGTCTATGAGCGAATAGTCAACTCAGACTTCGCCTTCGTTAACTATTTGCTCATAGACAACTCGGACTCGTTGTCTAATTGTTAAATGGTTCAATGCTAACATACTGTAGCATTGCCCAAAACATACTCCAAAAGGCCAACCCTGATATGGCAGAACTAGAAGATACAACAATTGGCCCAAAACTTCTTTTTACTGTTCATTTTGGGAAATTTGTGAAAATTCTACATCATGGTGAAATCCACTGGATACGTGTTTCTAACCAAGGGTGTAAAAAGGGTGAGATTAAGAGGAGTTTTATTAGAAAATCGCGTATTGGGCGCTCAAAACTAAATTAAGATTTAATCGAATGAATCGGGTGGTAACATGGCGGCTGGTTCTTATATCGTGTGAGTACTTTACTGCGTGTTTTCACATAGTCAATTGTTGACTTTCGTTTAATTTTGTTAAATATCGTCAATATACTATTGGAATGATGTGTAAAATGATAAACAAGATGAATTCAACAGTAATTGAAGAGTCAAAAGCAACGCAATGTTACACAGAGGGGTTGGAAGGATTCGACTCTCACAGAAGCATGGAAGGTAGGCGTGCATTTTTGCGGATTTTTCATATTTTACTGCCATCGATAACAATAAATCATACTTTGCAACATTCCTTTGACATTCTAGTTTTGATTTAAGGCATCTTAAATAAACTTAGCTTGGTTATTTCGGAGTAAATCTTGCTTAAATTTAGAAGCGATTCAAATTTCAAATTTTCACAAAATGCAGTCACTATAATCCGTATTTTGCTCTTATCTTTCAAGCTAAGTGTTCATATTATAATTTATAACGTCTAATGTTTAACTAAGATGTATTTTGTTTCAGCAATTGCCCTGGTCCCAAAATCTAGGCATGAAATTTATCTAAAAAGTTATTAATATTTTTGTGTAATAAGTATAAAATGAATACATAAGTCGGTTGTAACTTGTTGTTCACCACTTGTAAATTACTATAGAACTGTTTCCGATCAACCTAAGTCATATTTCCTGATTTGCCCTAGGTATGCTAGTTTACAAAAAGCATCATTTAATTAAAATTGGAGTGGTACGCCATGGAGCATTTTTCGACTTTTTAAAATGAACCAGATTTTTGTATTCTCAACCTGTATTTTTTGTACAGTCCAGTATTACTATCTGTTTATTGAATATAACGCAAAGCGCCATATTACAAGCTGTGCAAACATGGCTCTCCACCTATTTTACACTTCTATGATGATTTTAGATGGTTTGAACATGTTTTGTTCCCAAAATCCACAGGTTTTCTATAAGCCATGATTTGGCCAATATGGAGGGAACCTTCACCTTAAGTTAAATGATTAAATATCAACTGAGAACCATTTCCGATCAACCTAAGGCGTATTTCATGATTTGCCCTAGGTATGCTAGTTTACAAAAACCATCATTTAATTAAAATTGGAGTGGTACGCCGTGGAGCATTTTTCGACTTTTTAAAATGAACCAGATTTGTGTGATATTCTATAGGGTTTTATTTATCCTGGTTGAACACATGCTGCAGATCTGGAAGTTTGTGCAAATCAGGCCCTGGATGCTACATCCTACATGCCCTTAAGCCCTTTCTTGTTAACTCCAGACTTGTCTTGATAAATCTCTTATAGAGGAATTTGCCATTGCCACATATTTGACATATCTATTACTTTTTATTGCAGGCTTTGAAAAAACAGTGGAAACAACACAAGATTGCAAAAACACTATTTATTGCAATTAATGATATAATATTTTAACAACAAAGTCACATTACAATTTTATATTACCTATACTTACAGCTGTATAATTTTGGAATGAATTGTCCCATGATTGTCCCACCTACATGTCCCATATTATGTACCCACCACACAAGGAATTCATTATTGTTAATAAAGTAGAGAGGGCAGTTGTTTTTGAAATAAATCAAAATAGTTTGACTTTCCCTTTCTTTGTGTTGTTTCTTGAATAAATTATTTACGGTCTTTTTCATTATTGTTGTGATAAAGATAAACTGATCTTCAAGCTACTACACATAACTATCCACCATCTCCAACGCAAATGCGAGTTTACTGGCATGTCCGTATCTGAAACTATTGTTCATATTTTCCAAGATGTGTTGGATACCTAGAAATAAAAACGTTGACATTTGAGATTTTTATTTTATCACAAGATTAATTCTGAACCACTAAAATCAGTATATTTCAATATGTTTACACTGTCAATTACACATTAGTGTGTGACTGTGACTGTGTGTCACTCCTTCGCACTAATAAAAATGTACGCATGGAAAATTATATCATTCAAAATACCAAAACAATTGAACGAACACTCACCTGTTGTTCTTCTTTGTTTCAAGGAGCTTTTCGTCTTTTGAAATTCCCCAAAAGTTAGTAAAACAGCTGTCTCTCGACACGAAAACTTTACCAAACTTGTAAATTCAAAATGGCTGCAAAGCATATTTTAGCGAAGGCCTGGTTGCTAAGTTTTGAGCGATTTTGTGCAAAAATACGCGATTTTCTAAAAAATCTCCTCTTAATTAGTCTTTCTCACGATGACGAATATGCTGCCATTTTTGGGGTACTTTTTTCAAAAACCGTGAGCGTATGGCTTGGTAAAGGCGACTGTCTTTAATTTTAGGTTTAATTTATCTTTTAGATGGTCTGTTTATTCTAAAAAAAATGTTTTTGATGTTTAAACATTATTTTTAAACCCATTTCAGAAAATTGAAAGTACCCCAAAACGTCATCGTGAGAAAGGCTAATTATTATGACAGTATGTACTAATGTATAAGGAACCCACATGTGAAAAAGCAGATTGCTAGCATCATGCAGGAAAGTCAGATCGTATAAAGGTATAGCTAAATGTCAAAGTAGTACAGCAACAGAACAACTCAGTTTATTGTGGTGTTTTTGCAAAAGCTTTTGCCACTAACCTGGTCTGTTGGAAGGGTACAACTTGTGTCAACCTGAACCAGCAAAAGAAGCGAAGTCACTTATCAAGATGTCTCGTAAGCAATGTTTTGTACGTATTTCCAGAGCAAGACACAAACCAGGAGGGGTTTATACGATGCCAGCAACATTCTGTGAATTTTTGGCTCTACTGATTATGTCGCCTTCCGTGGTTTGTGAGTGACAAATCTATCTGCACTCTACGAATGGTTCGGTGTCAGGCGGTGAGCGCACAGCGACCACAAAGCCTGGTGGGAAAAGAAAAAAAATTGTCATTATGCGACAAGTCGCGGTTAGGTGCACATCACTGAGAAGTTATTTTAAGTGATCCCTTTTGAAGTGTATCATGATTCCTAATTTTAGTAGCCCCATACGCGTCCATAGGCCTCCATAGACCTCCATAGCCGTTCATAGGCCTCTTTAGCACTCCATAACCCTCAATAGGCCTCCATAGCCGTTCATAGGCCTCCTTAGCACTCCATAACTCTCAATAGGCCTCCATAGCCCTTCATAGGGTTCCATAGGCCTCCATAGGACTCCATAGGCCTCCATTGAGCCACATAGGCCTCCATAGGTCTCTGTAACCCCGTTTACACTACACTCGATTTATTGGCACGGCACGGCTAAAATGGGTACCCGTGCCCATTTCATCTGTTCTCGGCCTTTGTTTTGGTAGCCTGAACACTATTGAAATTGAGCACGGGTACCAATTTTAGCCGTGCCGTGCCGATAAATTCAGTGTAGTGTAAACGGGGCTTATAGCCCTTCATAGGCCTCCATAGACTTTCATAGGCCTCCATAGGCCTCCAAGGGCCTCTGTAGACTTCCATAGCCCTCCATAGTTTTCCATAGCCCTCCATAGACCTCCATAGCCCTCCATAGCCCTCCATAGCCCTCCATAGCCCTCCATAGTCCTCCATAGCCCTCCATAGCCCTCCATAGCCCTCCATAGCCTCCATAGCCCTCCAAAGCCCTCCATAGCCTTCCATAGGCCTCCATAGCCCTCCATAGCGCTCTATAGCCCTCCATAGGCCTCCATAGGCCTTAATGGGCCTCCATAGGCCTCCATAGGCCTCCATTGCCCTCCATGGGCCTCCATAGGCCTCCATAGAGCCACATAGGCCTCCATAGGTCTCTATAGCCCTTCATAGGCCTCCATAGACTTTCATAGGCCTCCATAGGCTTCCAAGGGCCTCTGTAGCCTTCCATAACCCTCCATAGCCCTCCATAGCCCTCCATAGCCCTCCATAGCCCTCCGTAGCCCTCCGTAGCCTCCAAAGCCCTCCATAGCCTTCCATAGGCCTCAATAGGCCTTAATGGACCTCCATTGGCCTCCATAGACCTCCATAGGCCTCCATACGTCTCCATAGGCCTCCATTGCCTAGGGTTAGGGGTTAGGGTTAGGGTTTGGAACGAAGAGGAATCACGCGTTGGACATTCACAATAATAATACGCTTTAACTTTTGTGTACGCTCATTTCCGAATACCTCAAAGTCGAATACCTCATTTCCGAATACCTCAAACATTCACGGTGCCTAATGCCAAACTAAAGTAAATATATTCCATTTAAGGCATGCTGATCGATAGCTGCTCTAGCTGATGTCGAGCGAAACACATCGTGAGAATTTCAGCTCTAGCAATTCAGCATATCCTCTCTTGAATATGTATGAAACCGCCCCTTAATTTTCAAATCAAAGTCGGAGCTAGCAGTCTTGGAATTTGATGCACAGGAAAATCTTCCTTGTGATTACCCTATATAGATTCATCCAATATAGAGGAATATAGCGTTGTTAATGTTAACATTGCTTTTTACTTACCTCAAATACTTATTACTGTGTTTTTTTCGTTGCTTCAACTTTGGACCGCTACGGAGCTGCTGATTGTGAAAGTGATAAAATCACAAAATGAAAGTTTTTTTCAGAACGATGCATGTCTGCGCTCGTGATTAAAGCGAAAGCAGGTTAGGTTCATAAATAATATAATAATAGTATTCCGTGTTCGCGCAGTATAAACGAACACAGCTGTGTTCTAGGTGTCCCTTGGGGATAAACGCTGAAATTTATCACAAATAATAAAAACTCAAAATCGACATTTCTCCTTTAATAACCGTTCATCTACGCCTCCATTGACATCGCATTTACGCTGGAACTGGGGGGGGGAGGGGGGGAAAGGGATATGCCTCGTGGACATACACAGGAGCAGGTCGCATGGACAAGCTTTGGAAAAGCTCGCTCAAACTCAACCTCATTGAGTGTGACATTTGAAAGTCCCTTTCTAATCAATTGGAGGGCTTAGAGCAAAACACTGAAAATAAAGTCCGACGTGATTGGCACTTTTCACACAATGAGTCAGTTTGATTGTTTGAAGTCGCCTGGGGACAGTTCCACTATACAGTATTTATATGAAGTATTTAACTCGCTACCTCTTAACGCAGGCTCGCAGTGGGAAGAATTTCAACTTTGATTTCTGATTCGGAATTCAAATTCCAGAATTTTTAGAAATAATGGGTGGTTGATGAGAATATTGCCTCTGACTTTCTGGATTACCTGGAAGTTATAAACCATCAAATTAAATGTTGAATTGAAGAGATTTTAATGCAAATACGATGATGCATTCTCAAGATGACGGGGTGATCGCGACCAACGACGATGCATCGATTTGCAAAAGGTACAGTTGAAATATTGGAAATAATTTTCATAAAGTTGTACACAAATCACTTATTAGCCCCATTGTCTTTTTACAAAGGTAATAAAGAACCATCTTTAGTATAACAGACTTTCATCTGCATGTGTGCAACTAAAATGCTGAGCCATTTTATGAAAGCCATTTTATGGAAGCTCTTATTAGTAATAATGGTACAATAATTTATGGAATATCAGACCAATAGTGCATTATGTTAAAGATCTGTTATACGATCAATTTTAGTTTATGGATAGAACTACTCGGCATAAAAATAGTGTTTAATCTTGTTCGGTGGAATAGGCCGTGGGATGAGCATCGAAAAGATGCAATTCCGTTGCACCCTTCGTGGAACTACGTAATTTTTACATGAATCAATAGAAAAAAACTTACTTTATCAGAATCCGTTGCTCCCCAAGTGAGACAGGTGCACAATTGGGAAAAAAATCCCTCCAAAGTCTGTTATTTTGGCGCTTCGAAATATTCGAACCGCCATTGTTTTAATAGCAAATACGCATGCGCATTTCAGCCAAAGTCGCACTGCGCAAGCTCAAACAGAAAAAATGGATTTTCCCTTTGCGTTTTCCCCGATTTCCCGTGTGAAAACAACAAAATAAAATCATGAAATAAAGATTAAACCTTGTAATATTAACAAATAAATACACACACATCAAATATTGTTTAAAACACATTGTACATTTTGCTTGCTCATGTGCTAAATCTCCTCAATTCATTGGCTATTGTTTCAAAATACCGTTTTATAAAAATTGCGTCAAGTAAAAAACCCACCTGTATCAAACAGGATGGAGAATATATAAATATACATGCAACTCACACAATCAAGGGACAAGTTAAATATTTCGCTTAACTACAGCCTTCACATCACTAACATCACTAACAAAGCCTGGCGGAATAGCAGAATCCTTGGATGTATTCATCTGTGCAAGGGCAGTCTCATGGCACAATACAAATGAGTGTGACATGCAATGTCCAAAGCCACTCAATAGAAAAATTACTGAGACTGAACCTGTCAGTTGTCTAAGTGTCATGGCAAGTGCTATGCTCTTAGGCGTAGGATTCCTTCCCCCAGATGCTAAATTCACAAGGTCTTGTACAATTGATGTTACTTTGGCACTGTTCTTGCCCTCAATTGGCACGTACTCACTTAAAGTTGGCTCTGAAGAGAATCCACAAATCCCAGCCAATACATTAAAAAGTTCACATGGAACCAATTTTTGCACATTATCCATTGTCAAATCAGATGCCAATGGTGGCTAAGGAAGATTTAGTTTTGGTATTTCTTGGACCTTTTGGCAAAGAATCAATGCAGTATTGTATAGAATTTGTAACTTATTGACTTTAGAATTCCCCTCAGTTTCTGTGTTGGAATTCAGATCATCATCATCAATGGTATAGCTTTCTTCATCAAAGTCTTCATTGTTGTTTTCTGACTTGTTTGACATATGTTCCTCAACGAATTTGGAAGAATCCAAATTTTTCACATTTACAATCTCACTAACATTTCTCATTTTCGGTACATAGAACACAAGTTGGGGATAACTTTTCATCAGTCGTTACTTGGATGAAGCTCTATATTTGGATGCATCCACATTCTCTGTGGCCTTAGCAATGATAACAAATTTCTCCAGCAAATCGTTCATACACCTTATTTGCTTAATTGCAATGACCTCAGTCTCGATTACTTTCTTACAGAAGACATCATAAGACTTCTCGTACACTGATGTAGATATTTCAGTCTCCAATTGCTTTTTTGCCTCTCTGGTGAGAAATTTTGTATAATTGTAGTACCAAACTTTGTGATAGATGACTTCCAGTGCTGCACAGTCTTTCCCCCTGATTTGCATGAGTATTCATCATTCCTTTCCTCGGCAGCTGTACGTAGAAGACCAGCATCAATTGTTTCTACCAACATGAGTGGGGTTCTTCTTCTCTTCTTAGTTACCTAGTGTGAACAAGATATTTTAAAACCAAACTCAAGAATGTTGTGCTACTAGTGCACATTGCACTAGTATAACTATATCTATCAAAATGACCATACCTTGTCTAGTGAGAACCAAGAGGCGTCTCTTCCACCAACAATACATATCTCTGGAAGTACGTGCTCGTTTCTTTTAGGCAGGGTCTTATAAACGTCTGCGACTGATTGGCGTGTAATTTTTTGCCTTGGTTTCATTGGTTCCACTTCTACATGTAGTTCTTCGGTAGAAGTTACAGTTTTAGAGCTTTCTTCTTTCCGCTGTTGTCTACGGATCTTCTCTTCATCACAAAATCTCTTCCAGTATTTCGTATGATGGTATCATTCTAAGTTAATGCTGTCAGGGTTCTTTTCCATGTATGAATTGACAGATCCGTCATCGATGTTCGCGTACGATTTCTTAGCTATTTCAGCTTGTTGACATCTAAGTTTGGCCCATTTAGACCTACACTCAAGAAATTTCTTAAGCCTTTGGCGTGTAACTTTGCAAAGTTGCTCCGTAACACCATCAAAATGAATAAAACATGAGGATATTCGAGTTTTATAAATATCTTCAGCCATTATTGTTTTGCATAACTAAACGTGTTTTCACTTCGAAGCATGTGCGTACTTATGCGCGTGCGCAGTGCGAGTTTGCCTGACAAACGCATGCGTATTTGCTACTAAAACAATGGTGGTTCGAATATTTCTAAACGCGAAATTAGCAAACTTTGGAGGGTTTGTTTTCCCAATTGTGCAACTGTTTTGCTTGGGGAACAACTGATTCTGATAAGTGAATTTTTATCTATTGATTCATGTGAAAATTATGTAGTTCCACGAGGGGTGCAACGGAATCCATTTTCTAAGCATCTTTGTGATGCTCATCCCACGGCCTAGAAGTCCAATTCATCAATTCATGCATTAAGTAACAAAAAACAAGGTAGTTCTGTATGGCATTCACTGTTAAGAGTTGGGCTGTCCAGGTATTCTTCATGGTTGCTCCGTAATAATTATGATTTCTTCGCAACTGATTTTTCTCATTTCAACTTTATAAGCAAATGCTTTTGGTGTCCGAAATATTCAGAGTCTTAGGTGCATTCCTTATAGCCTATGTTATTGATCTTTGGTGTGGAGTTAGTCAAACACAATTGAAATAGATTTATACTAAAATTCAGGGTGTCTTTGGCGTACAATGCACTATGACATGGAATAGACCTCTGCAATTAACATTACGACATCATTTTTCATTAGGCTAACAGTTGACAATCTACAGCCGGTTTTTGCCTGTAAATTCTTTGTGAAGTAATATGCTGATGTATTATTATATATTATATCATACTGTACTGTTTTTTAAAGAAAATATGCTGATTTTAGATAATTACATCCAGCATTTTGCGAAGAGTGCCGAAAAAAAGGCTCCAGAAATAAAGAGAGGTTAGTTACATTAAACTGTTATATAATTAGCATGTTCATATGTAGTGTTGTGCAATTCAGAGGGGTTCAAGCATTGCCGAATGTTATACAAGCTCACAAATCTGCACTGCATGTACCCAGAGAAATTATAAGTTCTGCTCAAGGTTTACCTGGTGTATTTGAGATTTTCACATCTAATTATTCAATTCCTTGTAAACTTTGTGTTTAGTCTTACCCCCCAATACTAGAAGTAATAAATACAAGACAATTTGAAATGGACCTGTTATTACATTCACAATTTTTGGGTGTGAAAGTTGGGATGTTCATCTTGTTTTTTGGAGTGGTGTACTGTATGTAAATTTTCCTTAACTCGTCACAGAGACAAATTAAACTCTATTACATATTCCAAACATTTTAAGTATTGTGGCTGACAACAACTAAATGGAAACTCTAGGGCTCGGTCATTAACTGTTATTAACAAGTAGTTTGGATTAGCTTGACCTGACTTGTTGACAGTATAATTATTGGTTTATTGTGTATGCAACAAATGGAACTAAGGGCTTGTTCACATGAGACAGGTCAGCCCAGTTTAGCTGGGCTAGCTCGGCAGTGCCAAGATCAAACTTCACATGTTATTTCAGTAAATTTGTAAAATTGCATTCAATGGAACTGGGTGAAGTGAGTTCTTGCCTTTAACTAGCTCATATGAAAACATATCAAGCAGGCCAGAAAAAGCAAGCCAGCCCTGGCCAGCTAAACCAGGCTGGCCCGTCTCATACAAAAAGGCCCTTACGTATAAATTACTGAGGAATTAAGCGGCATATTAATACCCAAATACATAGGTCCCGGGTGTGTTCACCACAGTTCAGACTAAATCGTTTTATAACATGAGGTGGTGAATATTTTGGCTTCTCTTCATAGGTGAACATTTTGGCTTCTCTTCTTAATGCAGTTTCTTGAACTGACGAAAAATGTGTGTCAAGTTATAAATCTTGGGTCTGGTTTTGATACTCGTTATTGGCAGTTAAAGGTAGTTAACAAGTTTAATGTTTAATATATGATACTACTATCAGTGTCTGAATTGCAGTAAAAACATTGCTACTGTAATTCACAAATGACTTTTTCATGTTTTGAGGAAGCTTGCCAAAGTCCAAAGACGTTTTATGAAGTTGATTTTGGTGCAGTTATAAGCAGAAAATGTATGGCTATAAGGTATAATTATTTTTTTAATAGATATAATTTCAATAGAGGGAGCCTTTCTCAGTCACAAAAAGCGACACCGACTGTCTTGATTTTTTCAAGATATATTAATCCGAAATTGCTTAGTTTATCCTGAAAAATTGCATTTTTCATTGTTAAAACAAAAAATCTGGAAATGGTGTTCATTCATTTTCTAATGCTGCAAAGCCAAAGGTGATGCCTTTCGATCATATTCAAACTTACATACAACCACCTTCGTTTAATTGACAATCCTCATGATAAATTATTATGTCAATTGTCAAACAGGACGTAGACTCGTAGTTCTGTGATTACACTTTGATTATCTTTCGCACGATTAGAATTCATTTAATTCCCAAAGGTAACATGATTTATGTTTTAAATTAATAACAATAATATTGCTTACCCATATCCTTGAGCCCTGGTCAAACGAGAATGATAGTTGATGAGAGTTGATGTGAGTTGCAACTCTCGCTTGCGTTTGACCGCGAACTCTCACAAGTTCTCGTGCACTCTCATCAACTCTCATCGACTTTGAACTGGTTCAAATTTTGATGAGAGTTGATGAGACTTGATGAGAGTTTGGGCGCGTTTGATCGGTCATGAAAGTTGATGAAAGTTGCAAAAGCGCCAGCGGTTTGCATTTGGTAGCAGACTAGACTCCGACTAGTGACAGAACAATAGTTCAAAATGTTTGGAAAACTCTTGTGCGAACTCTCGCTTCTCAACTCTCATCAACTCTCATTCTCGTTTGACTATAGGGCTTTACACTTTGTATTCATACACATTTATACAAAACAATTATTTTGCAATTGGTGTTTTTTGACTTGGAAAACAATGCAGGAAATGAATAATGATAATAACATAAAATTTTTATAGCATGACTAAATCGTCAGGCTGGTTGCTGCTATACATTGCCATCGGTATTATTAGCTCCAAATTATTGACAATAAAGAATGCATTTCCAAATCACCTGTATATTGCTATTTGCGAAGAATAGTTCGCTTTATACTGTTTTATCATGGCATTTAATATTTTGAAAAGATAAAATTATAATAAAAGTTCTCTTTAATTTTCAGGTTCAAACAGCAAGGTTTGCATTTTAACTTATTAATTTTACCTATTTTATATGAACAACTTCATTAATTTCACGTATTTAAAGTCTGCTTTAGTAGTCTGTCTATTTATTTACGTTTTATACAAACTTATAATATAAGTATGATATAACGAGCAATTTGATTGGCTACCGCGCGTGCATTGTGAGGCAATAATGCACGCTTCTGGCTTTTGAAGTTTTTTTTGCTAAGCAACATCTTAAATAACATGTAAATAACATGTAAGGAGAATTTCAGTATTGATCAAATAAATAAATTTTGTTGTTGCCCTATAATTTCTTCTTATATTATAAAAGCTCTCGGCTACGCCTCGTGTTTTACAAGCTTCTCTCGTATTCTCCCAACATTTCCCCATCGTGCATTATTACACCATAAAGGCACGCGACTCGTTTTTTAATTCTAAATTAAACAATGAATGAGTGTTATGTGACCAAAAATAGTCGAGTTTTATTATCCAAATATTTTGCTATAGCTCGCAAGGGTTTTAATTTTGATACTGAATAATTTTTCAAATTTGACTGCACAGAACTTTGAGCGGAGTACATAACTTTGTACTGTTTCTTGTTTTAATTAACGCATTGATTTTCTCCGCAGTGCGTGACAAGCCGTAAGTTTGCGTTGTGAATTTTCGATATTAAGTATGTTTATATAATATATACAAACTATCCTCAAGGGCATCGTTAACTTTTCAAAACATAGTTAAAAATTGCGTCTTGAGCTTTACAGGAGTGAGAAAACATTAAAATCAACAAATACCAAGGTTTTCAACCGTTATCCACTTAGAAAGGGCCCGCCGATGCTTGTAAACTTTCAATATGCTTTTTTTTTCATTTGGGCAGCAACAGAGAATAATTTTGCTTCGGGAAACGTGTCGATGCCAAGTTTCGATCCTAGCCAAGATTAGCCATCTCCATTTTCAACTGCAACCGGTATTTTGACTCAAAGGGACCTTTTATACTAAGAGCACCTTTTTTGTTGAATTATTCTGAATTTTTTCCTTGTTTTATTGCACTTTTTCCAATATTTTAGATCAAAATACTGTCAATTTTTGTAAATACGAGTCCACAGTCTTGTTCAAAATCAATAATAGCGGTCAACTATTTCGAGATACTTCATGCTATTTCTCTGTTTAACAACCCCACGCAAGCTCCACGCAAGTTAACTAAGTGATTAGTTAATCATCCCAACAAACTACGTTTTGTGCAATGCAGTTAAGTCGCGTAGTTAACTAATCATAGTTAAGAATTTAACTACAGTGATTAGCGCTAATCATAGTTAAAGTTAACTACGTTTTTATGCAACCGGCCCCAGGCCTTCTCGTTGTTATTTTATAAGATAATTACTTAATGGTTTCCGTGTTTTAATCCCCTGATCCAAACACGCCGGAATGCGCGCTGCGAGAGTTAAAAATAGCGCGCGGAACACGAGCCGAACATTTACTATAACTATACATACTATATGTTCGAAAAACTTTAGCAAAGTTTTAGATTTACATGAGTAAGCAAATAGTTATATTCAGGACAGGCTTCTTACATGCTTGAGTAACCAAATAGATATCCACACCTTATCCCACAAATGCCTAACAAAGTGTCGATCACAAACCATGGTAGCATGTGCTACAACGCACTGTATTGCGTAGGGGAAATGACTTGCAGTTTTAGTTCTTTCCCTAGCCAAGCGTATAAAGTCTGAGCACAGATAGACAATAGGGATACACAACAATAAGGACACACTGTCGTTTTATGTTTACATTTACTTTAATTAGTTAGTTAGTTTACCTGAGCAACCAGGCGTCTTTCGCCACTTCTCCCAATAAGTGGAAACAAAGAGCATCGTCTATGATGTATTGCTCCAGTTCCAATCTCTCTCAAAGGTCTGCGAACTCCGAAGTTCAATCCTTGGGAACCATCGCGTTTAATAGCAACAAGCACAAATTTTCTAGAATCCATTATAAAAACAATTTAAGTCAGTATAAATTTCTTTTGATCGGGAAATTCAATTCGGTTTTACCTTTAGGCCTGGTTTGCATCACTTCTTACTAATCGGAGAGCTATCGTATTATTTTTCGAATAATAAGCATAGTTTATAGCAAAATAGTGAACTCAAAAAAGGGAAAACACCAATTTTTAGTTCAAGGTAAAGCACCAAAAGCAGCCTTACAGGGTACTGGTTCATACTTGTCCTGAGAATCGGAGATTCTTTTTGTCTGAGTTTCTAGTGTGCAATGTGCTTTGTCAGCCGGATGATAATACAATGCATCCCTGATTATAGAAGCCAGTGTGGACGATGTATAATGTGAAATGGTCTTCGTTTGATGGCTTTGATCTTTTTAAATTGTACGTGGTCGGTTTTCCACTACGCCAGAGTTTTTGATCGAACGAGGTTTTTAACCTAATTTTTAAATTGTGAGAATTCAACCGTATTTTCAATCAATGCTACATGGGTTATGATTGGGTGAAGTGATTTTATATGAAAACTCTTTCGTGTCCCAACACAGTAGGTTTGATTAGTACCAACTTTCAAACGAGTGTTGGTAGCTGTTTCACTAAAATAAACATTGGCTAGCAAATGTTAATCAGGTGTCTATATATAGCTATATTCTAACTAAGTACACTTCTGTTTCATCCCCGATCTGAAGTTTTAATTTCGCTCGGATATATTTAAACATAACAAAGGTAATTCTAACGGAACAATTTCAATTCAAAAGCCATCTAAATTCTATGTCACGCACGTTGGATTTCCCATTGGTTATGCGCACGCGCAAAATTTGGACTAGTAAAACCTGGTAATCAGATGCAATTTCATGATTGGTTAAGAAGAAAAGTTTTTATTTCCCTCCAACATTTAATTTTTTGTAAGAACGGTATTTTTGTAAATTATTGGAGATAAAATATTTCAGTATATTTAAAATCTGAAGAATACATAGACATAGTTCAAAAATAAGCCTAGCCTTCTCACTGAAAGGAAGCAAAAATAAGCAAAAAAATTTTCGACGCAACAAATAAAACATTTTCACTGCCTTTTCCTGTGAATTCTTACCTTATCGTGAGTCTTTGAGTCTTGAGTCTTTTTCCCTACATGCGGCCTCAATTAAATAAGACTAATTCAAAAAATTTCTAGCAGGATGCAAAAAATGAATTCGTAAAAAACTTAAAAAAAAATAAATAAATATTAATAATAATAATAAATATTTTTAAAATTTTACCCTCTCTGAAACCGTAGCCTTTTTAGCAAACGAACCATGCGAATAGCGGCACACAATAACTTCTGGTGCAAATCTGCGCTGTTCAACACACGATATAAAGAAAATAAATGGAAACCTACAATCATACCTAATTTTTTTTCCGTATGAAAAAAAAAACTAAGCAAATACCAGTAATAAATCAGTGGTTGATACATAGGATAAAAAACGAAGCTTTGAAGATAACTTGAAATATCAGTGGATAGAGGTGAAAATATTATTGTGCGTTCCTTGCGAGATTAAGATTACGTACACGTTGGCACGATCAAATCGCCACCAAATAGTTACTAGCCAGAGTAGAGATGTCACAAGTAGACCAGAAAGCAGAATTAAAAGAAGAAGATAGTTCTTTGGTAAGTTTGGAAGGCAGGATAGAACAAGCGATGCAAGGGAAAGAGGACGAAGGACAACGTGGAGAAGCACCGCAGAGATGGAAATGAAAGAAGGAGAAGCAAAAGCTAGGACCCACAATTTTATACAGTTTTTAAAAGAGTTATGTCCTTTACGGGAAAACGTAAAAATATATATCAGAATGAAAAGGTTGATGAAGTTACGCTCGTTACGTTCTTTACGCTCTTAATTTACATATGCTCTTCTAGATTAGTTGTTAACTTGTCAACCAGTCCTAACACATTGTACTCCTTCACGCGATTGAGAATTTCGTCTTTTATCACCAGGAATTAATGGGCTTCAACGTAATTGTTGGTGTTGTTTCCCCGTACAAGGAGGTCACTGCGGTATGCCAACGCCCATGACCCACTTATATCAATGACATTATTGAGATATTCATTGACATTAGGGTAAATTTCAAATAGGCTGTCCTGCAACAATTCATCCGTCTTTTCTCATACATCTTCACTTGAAGCATACACAATGGATTTCACTAATGCAAGTATTTGTGGTCGATGATCTTTGTGAATGCCATTTTTCTTCTCATGCAACCATCTCCATATTTGCTGCATAAGATGAAAAATGCATAGGAGAAGGCGACTTTCTGGCCACACTATATGCAGAGCATCCCTTAGTTCTGAACAGTTATCAGTCATAATAACCATAGGGCCAATATCATTACCGTCATAGAATGCACCATCACCCATACAATTCTTCTGGAAAGTAAACCCTTGCACAAGGGTTGAGGTTCTTTCGTCACTCACAATCAAAATTCCCATTGGCAAAGCACTTTAAAGCACCTCCATCTTAAAGGGACAACTTTTATTCTGGAATCTCTTTGCAGGTTTTTCTTCGAGTACTTTAGCAGTATCCTTTGTCCCATGATACCTTGTATTGTGATGACAATCGAATGTTTTATTTAGTTCATATCCACTTTTTGAAGTGAGACTTTTCGAAACAGAGAGTTTCAAAGTCTCATTTGTTTTCTTGTTGTACGAAGATATGAATTTTTCTAAGTTATCTTCCGGTAGAGCACAATAAAACACAGCTTTGAATTTATTTAGGGTACCATGAACAGCCAATGATCTTATGTTTTCTTGCTGGAGATGCAACAAATCAAAAACACAAGCCTTAATTCCTCTGTATCAGATAGTCCAGGATAACTGTTGTTCTGGTAGAAACAATGTGTTTCCGCCCACGATTGAAGAGGGAACCTTGCGCGTGTTAGGCGCACGTGATAACCGCTACACTACGGAAACAGCCAAAGATCATTCAGCAGAATAAGAATGGCAAAATTGTGTCTTCAAAAGAGGGAAAGAAAGCGAATTGTTTCCGCCCAGAATTGAACTGGGAACCTTGCGTGTGTAAAGCGCACGTGATAACCACTACACTACGAAAACTTTCTCGGGCGCGAAAAAGAATATTTCCCGTCTTAATTTGAATTGGCAAAATATCGAATACTGCGAATTTTAGTAAGATAACTTTAAAATTCTTTGCATTTCAGAAATTAAAATCAAAAATTGTTTTCTACGAGCCATAACGGTTACAGGTTTAGATAAATATATGGAAAGAAACACAGCGCACATAGCTGTTTCTGTACATGGTCAAACCGTTTACCTCGCGCCTCTATATAAAGAGCACTTGATAACCGCTAGACTAGAGAAATCGTATCGCCCCTTAAAAGTGTTTAAAGCAAAGCACTGGTTGAATCCGGTATATTTGTTATAGGTTTATTTTTCAGGAAATAATTTCATTAGTCATCTTTGAGCCTGAAATCTGCTGTGCGGTAACTTATGTTCCACCAACGTTTATCGTGCAAAAAACATTCAAAAGAGCAAAAGTGGTAAACTTAGCGTCTAATTGAGAGGAAAAAAGCCAAAAGTTCCCGCCCAGGATTGAACTGGGGACCTTGCGCGTGTGAAGCGCATGTGATAACCACTACACCACGGGAACTTTCACCTGGCTGAAGCAAAATTTGCCTTTCTAAATTTGAATTCGCAAAATATGAAAACCTCGTAATTTTAATTCAATAACTTTAGAAGACCTTAGGATTCAGAAATTAAAATAAAAAATATTTCTCTACAGGCCCTCGCATTCCAAGGTCTAATTAAAAAATATCGCACTAGAAAGCCAGCAAATTTTAATATATTACAGGAAGACCCGGTGTTTCACCAATTTTCGCATTGTTCATCTATTTATATGACAGGAAAAAGAAACACAGCGCGCTAATTGTTTGTTTCAGTTCCCTATGTCCCGAATTGGGGATCTCTGGTGTGTAGGGTGATCGTGATTACCGCTACACTACATGAATTGCGTAGCATCTTTGAAGTGTTCAAGGTAAAGAGCTGGTGTGATCCGGTATATTTATTAATTGTTTATATAAGGAAAACTATTTTTATTAGCCATCTTCATGTCTGAAATCTGCTGTGCGATAACACTTGACCACAAACGTTTATCCTGTGTTCAAAAAAGGAAAAGTAGAAGTAATGTGTTTCCACCCAGGATTAAACTACGACCTTGCGCGTGTTAGGCGCACGTGATAGCCGCTACACTACGGAAACACGTAATGAACATTCAGCAGAACAAGAATGGAAAAATTGTGTCTTTAAAGGATGGAAAGAAAGCGAATTGTTTCCACACAGAATTGAACTGCGGACTTTCGCATATTAGGCGCACGTGATAACCGCTACACTACGGAAACACCCAAAGATCATTCAGCAGAACAAGAATGGCAAATTTTTGTCATCAAAAGAGGGAAAGAAAGCGAAATGTTTTCGCCCAGGATTGAACTGGGGACCTTGCGCGTGTAAAGCGCACGTGATAACCACTACACTATGAAAAATGGAAATGCTCAAAAGTCATTCCATTATTCAAACAGGGCGAGCGTAGAGACTTAAATAATTATCGCCCAATTTCGATAATACCGGTTGTGGCGAAAGTTTTCGAACGAATTATTTTTGATCAAATTTACGGTTTTCTTACTGAGAACAATTTACTATGTAATAGCCAGTCTGGATTCGACGTTTGCATTCAACTGTTACTGCACTTCTAAAATCTACTAATAGCTGGGCCTACAATATTGACCAAGGACTGGTCAATGCTGTCGTTTTCCTAGATCTTAAGAAAGCCTTTGATACAGTTGACCATGGAATTTTGTTGTCAAAACTGTCAGCATATGGTCTTGGGGGTGCTGTGGCTAACTGGTTTAGGTCTTATTTAAGTAACCGCAGTCAAAAATGTTATGTCAATGGCCATCTTTCTACCAACCGTACGTTACTTTGTGGTATTCCACAGGGAACTATTTTGGGACCATTGCTATTTTTTTGTATAATATGACTTGCCAATTGTCTTGAGCACTCCCAGCACGAATGTATGCAGACGACACCAATTTAACATTTGCAAGCAATAAAATTGAAGATATAGATTATTACTTTAATCAAGATCTTGAAAATGTTAATAAATGGCTTATCGCCAATAGGCTTACATTGAATCAATCCAAAACTGAATTTATGCTAATTGGCTCACGACAAAGAATAGCTACTTTCCAATCAGACCCATGTTTTAAAATAGACGGAATTCCTATAGACAAGGTTTCACATACAAAATCTCTAGGAGTTCACCTTGATGAAAATCTATCTTGGAATATACAGATCAAGGAATTAACAAAAAAAATTGCTTCTGGTATTGGCGCTTTAAAACTCGTTCGTTCATTTGTCCCAGTTGCAACATTGTATTTAATTTTTAATTCCCTTGTCCAGCCATATTTCAATTATTGCTGTACAGTTTGGGACAATTGCAATAAAACCTTGGCAGATAAACTTCAAAAACTACAAAATCGCGCAGCGAGAGTTTTGACCTTTTCAAGCTATGACACTAATGCCGACATCTTACTCGATAGACTTGGCTGGAAAAAGTTATCTTCCCAACGCCAGTTTCAAAAGGCTGTCATGGTTTATAAATCACTCAATGGACTTGCTCCACAATACATGGGTTCCATGTTTGTAAACCGTGACAGTGTCAATCCTTATTCGTTGAGAAACACAAATAGTAAGCTGGCTGTTCCTAAGCCTCGCACAAACTATCTCAAGAATAGTTTTAGTTATAGTGGTGCGATGCTATGGAACAGCCTACCGATTGGGCTACGGCTAGCAAATAACCTATCAAATTTTAAAGCGGGCTGTTCCAAATTATTTTAATCTACATTCACATTTGTATTATATTATATTTCTTGTATATATTCCTTACACGGCTCTCATGAAAAGCAGGTATATTAATTATTAGTTTGATTTATCATTGTAAATATTTTTGTAGTCTTTTTTTGTAATTCATAATCTTGTCATTTGTCAGCATGAAAATCCTGATTGAGAATACCGTGTGTAAAAAAAAGTTTAATAAAGTTTAATAATAATAATAAAACTTTCCCATACCTGAAAAAGAATATTTTTCGTCTTAATGTCAATTAACGAAATATCGAATGCTGCGAATTTTAGTAAGCTAACTTTAAAATTCTTTACGTTTCAGAAATTAGAATCAAAAATTGTTTTCTACGAGCCATAACGGTTACAGGTTTAGATAAAATTATCGAAAGAAACACAGCGCACATAGCTGTTTCTGTACATGGTCAAACCGTTTACCTCGCGCCTCTAAATAGCACTTGTCAACCACTGGATAGAGAAATCGTGTCGCCCCTAAAAAGTGTTTAAAGCAAACCACTTGTTGAATCCGGTGTAATTATTTGTTATCGGTTTATCTTTCAGGAAATAATTTCATTAGCCATCTTCGAGTCTGAAATCTGCTGCATATGCCGTAACTTTTGTTTCACAAACGTTTATCGTGCAAAAAACATTCAAAAGAACAAAAGTAGCAAACTTAGTGTTTAATTGAGGGGAAAAAAGCGAAATTTCCCGCCCAGGATTGAACTTGGGGACCTTGGGCGTGTTAAGCGCACGTGATAACCGCTACACTACGGAAACACTGACTGTCCATGCCAGGACAACTTTGGATTCGGTACTTCCGGGTTCCGGGTGTACTTCCTAATACCCGGGCGGAATTAGTACCCTCGCACGGTGCTCGGCACCGGCTCGGGGATTATGTATTTCACAAGTTTTATTGGAATACAAAACGTCAATGCAAAATTTGCTGAGATGTCGTCATATCATTCGTTTTTAGTTCTGCATTCAAAGTTTAATAATGGTTTGATTCCCACTCCTTGTAGCGAACACTTGAGGAGGCTGCCTACTGTTTTAAGTGCGTATCAAAGTTTGGACTAAGACAGTGACCTATCTTCCTTATTACAGAAATAACTTTATAATGATCTTTTGAATCCTTTGGGAAAATCGTTTCTGAATCACCAGTGTACTTTTTTTCTTGAAGCCAAAAATTAGTTTCACAAAAACTACACTAGCGATACTTTTCAAATTTAGAAATTGAGTTTAACTTAATCGAATAACTATACTTAAACAATTCGAGATATGCGCACCGTGCATATGAGAGAGAAAATAGCACCGCAAAGTTTAGTTTTTCTTTCAGGGAAACCCTCAAGTCCACGCAAAAGTGAAATTATGACCGTAGAGGACATCGTAAAGTGTTTTCGAGCGCAATAAAGCGTGCGAACCATCGCAAACAAACAAAAATTCAGTTAATTTTGGTCGAAGAAAAATACGTTTAGGATGGCAAATGTGAGAAAACCTCTCACCCTTGGCTCGTTTTTTGAAATACTGTTCTCAAACTAGACCCTTGCGTTTGGGTACTTGGCAGTTTTCGCGTTGAATTGGCAACATTTTCTAAACATTTTTTATTTTTATTGTAAACGGAAAACCTCAAAATATTTTAACCCAACTTCCATTTCTCTTTGGCCGAATAGTTTAAAAGTTGTAACTGTTCATGCAGAAATTGTATGCGTTCATTTCAGAAGGTAAAACACTACAGCATTTGAAGTAAGTTTATGAGAAATTATCACTCATTAAACTCGTCGCTTTTTGAAAACATCATGTCAAGGATTATGAACATTAGAGATGAATATACTGTATACTGAAAATCAAAAACATACTAAAAGAAAGCTTGGAAAGTGCTTAATAACACATGAACAGTTTCAATCTTAGAGATATTCCATTATTACAGAAAAAAAAAGCATTTCTTCTGCCTAAAAGCAATCCGTTGGTTGCGAATCGTGAATATTTCACGCGCGCCTGATCTATATAAATATCGAATCAAACTGTACCAACTGTATAGGAAGCCTTGTTAAATGAATTAGAATATATAATTAGAATGCCATTATTTGCGCTTATGGGCTTTAAAAAGATATGGCAATAAAAAATGTTTCTGCTTTGTTTAAAAGAAATTTTTACTTCTTACAAAGCCTTTTTACAAAATTTATATATCTTTCATACTTCACAAGTTATTGACGATCAAAACATCGGCGACTGTAGAGATGTATCCGCCATCTTGTCATGATGAAATCAAATTACTTGACATCAAATGATCAAAAGCAGGGTTGAGGATTAAAAAATAACAAGTATAAAAGTTTACGCTCTAGTTTAGAACTCTTAAAATTCATTTGCTATAATTTCAGATACGTGCATGCTATTGTAATACCATAAAGCTATCACTTCGCTGGATCGTTAATTTGAAGTAACAAAGCGAATTTTCACCCAGCTTATGATCTAACGCATATCAGAGCAAGAATATGCATATCCAAAATGAAGAATAGAAGATAATTTCATTCGAAAATATCTTGAGAAGTAATAAAGATAACAAAAATCTGTAAACAAATTTTGTAAATATACATGACCTTTCTTTCAAAATAGTCTAAGATAATTTTATTGCTGTATCCCTTTAAGGTTTAAGGTTTTTGACAGACAATTAACCTTTTTAATTAAGTATATTCGCTCCTATATGAAACATTTTGTGTAAACGTGCCCTTCACTTAGAAACAAAGTGGTTATCTATTTCCACTTCCAACGCATAAATTTTACTCGCGTTAATAAATATCATTCCGAGTGAACAAACTAGCGTCAAAATAAAGTGACCAAACGTCATAGCCAAACTGGATAAAGTGTTGTATTTGTAGTGCGTGATAATTTGGAATGTTTATCCATTCACCATTAAAATTAGGCTACCCGTTGAATCTTCAGCACAACGACATTCGAAAAAATTATAGCAGAATCAATTGTGAAAAAAATAAAATATTTTCGATGAGCGTTTTAAAGAAAGATAATTGGCATCTTTGAAGTCAGCTCTTGAGATTAAGACGTTAGGCGCCGTCTATACGAGATAGCGGATTCGCTTGTCACGACATATCTTTTGCCTTTAAAAGGCAATAGTTAATTTAATAGCAAATGCTCATATTAGTTTGATGGATCTAATATCTTTGCCTTTAAAGGGCTTCTGAGAGCAAAATTATTTACCGCCTTTTTGATATCTTCAATAATATATATTTAAGAAATATTTTAATTGCAAACATGTTTCGACATATAACTATAAATTTATAAGTGTTTTCATCTTCGTGGCGTCCAATGTCGCGTCCTTTGTTAATACCATAAAGAAAATGAACAGCATGACCTGAAACAATTATATATCAAATAGCAAAGTTGAATGAATCAACCGGATTACATCAATTAAAATAGCTGCGACATGCATGCAGAGTTCTAAGAATGCTTTTATCCATGCATTCACCTGACAGTCAGCCAATAAATAATAAATGATATTTTTTATCTTTGTTCTTGAATTCCAATTGGCAATGTAAAATCTCGTTTTTGACGTTAGCTTTATCAGATCGCGTTTGAGTGTTCATTTGATATATCCAACAGAATTTCATGTAAGTACTTGTTTACTGCTGTATTT